CAGCCAATCTATACCTTTAAATACCATTAGCTTGACAGTGACTTTCACATTTGTATCTCTGGCTCAGCTCAAATTCATATCACTTTTCCACTTTGATGTCCAATAGGCATATCCAATTTAACTTGTCCAAACTGAACTATTTACACATTTTTCCAGCCCACCCCATGAGGCACCATCCTGTACCCATTAACTTTCCCTCTCTCCTCATACCTAAGCATTTCAGGATTCCTGTTAACTCGATCTCAAAACATGTTTTCCATCTCCACTGCTAGCTCCCCAATCCGGGCCCTCACTTGGCGGTCCTGGACTATTGCACAGCCTCTTACCTGGCCTCCCTGATTCCAGCACCAGCACAGTCCATTCTCTAGAGAACAGAATACAAAACTGATGCTGCTCCCTTTTTAACCACCCAAGGGTTCCCATTGCACCAGAAACTTCATATCCTGGCCCACACTCCCTGCATGCCTCGCCTCTGCCTGGTACCCTGATCTTCCACCACGACTGCCCGTCCTCTCTACGCCAGCCACACTCGCCTTCCTTTTATTCTTCCAGTGCATCAAACTCAGTCCTGACTTGGGGCCTCGGAATTTACTCGTTAATCTGCCTGGGATACTTTTCCTCCACATATTCTGTATTAATCGTGTTTTTTATTTTCAATATTTTATAAAACTTTGACATCTGGGGGCCTTGCAAACCTGGGAGGAACTGCCCCTTGCAAGGTGAGCTGACTCCTAGAGATAGCAAGCAACTTGCCTTGGAGCATGTATTTGATGTGCAAACCAACCAGTCCAGAGCCCATACCTCGGAACCAACCTCTTTGTCAAACTCTCACAGACCAAGCCAGTATTCCCCCTGCCCTAAATCACCCTGGGAGTCAGATACTGGATAACCATGGACTACCCCTGTAGCCCAGAGCCTGCTGGAATTATTCAAATTATCTAGTCCTAAACTCCCTTAGCTTACCAACCTGCTTCTCCCATTCCTTCCCATAAAAACCCCAATCAGGGCTTCAGCCCATGCTCTCCTGTGCTCCATGTGCCTCCTGACCGACCCCAGTGCTACCCACGTGGCCCTGTGTGGCAGGGCATGCCCCCTCCTTTTGGGAACACCAAGTAATAAACTATTTTTCAAAACAATTATCTCGGTGTCGATCACCTTTCTATACTGATGAAAACCAATCCCCAGTACATTTTATAACATATGTCCATGGCCTATTATCAGGACAAGGTGCTTTCCACCATTCAGGCCTGAGCTTAAATGCAAGTTTCTCAGAGAGATTTTCCTTGACCATTCATCTATAGGGACCACCTGGCCCCTCTCCGTCATAGCACTCAATTTCATTTTCATTATAGCGCTCTTCACACATGATGCTTGATCGCTTGTTTTTGTCTAGTTCACCCTCCTAGGACAGAGACACTAAGAGGCAGGCCTTGCTTTGAGAGGTTCACAGCCACCTGTTCTAAAGGAGTCAGTCAAGGACACCCCAATCCATGTGACCAACAGTATGCGACCTTAGCCAAAATTCACTCGGCCTCAGTTAAAGCCGTGAGTTCAACAGAGCCAGTAAAGAGCTTTAATACAGACACATGAAGTTAAGCTTAGAACAGCCTATCTCCCAGGATAGGCTCTTATCTCTAAAGAGTTAGACAACTCTGCATTTTATTCTCATTAGACCTGTCACATTGGGTATGTTACTTACCTTGTTCAGGCTCAGTTTATTCATCTGTAAAATGGAGTTACTAATATGAACTGCCTAATTGAACTGTGAAAATTTAATGAGACAATGCTTGTGATTCACTCAACACAATAAATGCTGGAGAGAATATAGCAGTTAATAGTATCGTTGTTTTATTCCTCAAAAGAGGATGGATTGTCTCTCAAATCACTGAGGTGAAGATGGAATTTTTAAGAATAATGCCGGGATGAGCAGATCTCCATTTGGGGAAAGAAGGACAGTGTGTAGAATCCGGTGAGTCAGGAGACAGCGCAGCAGGCAGCAGGGGACAGTGGACACGTCAGGAACGGAGCATGCCTATTGCCAGAAAGGGGTCCCGATCCAGACCCAAGAGAGAGTTCTTGGATCTTGCACAAGAAAGAACTTGAGGTGAGTCCATAAAGTGAAAGCAAGTTTATTAAGAAAGTAAAGGAATAACAAACGGCTACTCCATATGCAAAGCAGCCCCAAATCCTGCTGCTTGCACATTTTTATGGTTGTTTCTTGATATGCTAAATAAGGGGTGGATTATTCATGCCTCCCCTTTATAGACCTTATAGGGTAACTTCCTGACATTGCCATGGCATTTGTAAACTGTCATGGCACTGGTGGGAGTGTGGCAGGGAGGACGACCAGGGGTCACTCTCGTGGCCATCTTGGTTTTGGTGGGTTTTGGTCAGCTTCTTTACTGCACCCTGTTTTATCAGCAAGGTCTTTATGACCTGTGTCTTGTGCCAACCTCCTATCTCACCCTGTGACTTAGAATGCCTTAACTGTCTGGGAATGCGGCGCAGTAGGTCTTAGCCTTATTTTACCTAGCCTGTATTCAAGATGGAGTTGCTCTGGTTCAAACGCCTCTGACCCCCAGCCACCTCAGCAGCCCTGGATGTCTCCTACCAGATTCTCCTGTGACACTAAACAGCCTTTGGTGCCAGCGGCAGAGCATCTGAGGGCTCAGCTGGGTCCACTGCCGGGGGAGGGGACATTGGAAATCCCAGCACCACTGGCCTGGCACCTGCTGCCTATCAGACAAAGTTGGCTGTCAAATTCAGCTCTATTTCTAAATACAATTACTCCTCAGTTTATGATGGGGTTACATCCCAATAAATGCATCATGGGTTACAAAAATGATGAGTGAAAAATGCATTTAATCCATCTAACCTACTGAACATATGGCTTGGCCTAGTTTACCTTAAATGTTCTCAGAAAATATTTGCTTACAGTTGGGCAAATCATCTAATACAAAGCCTTTCTCATAATAAAGTAATTGCCTGCCTGCCTGCCTGCCTGCCTGCCTTCCTTTCTCTTTCATTTGTTTTCTTTCCTCCCTTTCTTTTCTCTTTCTTTCCTTTCTTTCACTCCTTCCTTCCTCCTTTCCTTTTCTTTTCTTTCCTTTTCTTTTCTTTCTTTCAGATAGAGTCTCACTCTGTCACCCAGGCTGGAGTGCAGTGGCACGATATCGGCTCACTGCAACCTCCACCTCCTGGGTTCAAGTGATTCTCCTTCCTCAGCCTCCTGAGTAGCTAGGATTACAGACAAGCACCACCACACTCGGTTAATTTTTGTATTTTTACTAGAGAGAGGTTTCACCATGTTGGCCAGGCTAGTCTTCGAATTCCTGAGCTCAAGTGATCCACCTGCCTTGGCCCCTTAAAGTGCCGGGATTACAGTTGCGAGCCACCGCGCCTGGCCTATAATAAAGTATTGAACATCTTATGTAACTTCAACACTGTACTGAAAGTGAAAAGCAGAATAGTTGCATGGGTACTCGAAGTATGGTTTCTACTGGGCAAGGACTGCTTTCACACTACCATAAAGTCGAAAAATCATGGGTGGAAACATCATAAGTCAGGGACCATCCCCACTTCACAATCTGCTCAGAGACCTGGGAGGGTGAGGCCAGCCAGAGCCAGCTTTCAGGCCCCTGGTTTTCAGCATGAAGGAAACGGTTCCATGGCATAAATTGTTGAGGAACTGATAACCATCTGTTGCCAAGGTAACCATTCTTCCAAGAAGGTCAAACAGAGAAGCAACTCAGATAGTCAATAGTGATGTAATTTTGAACCCACCGGCTATCTGGCATCAAGTCAAAAAGTACAGCCAAAGCCCGTACACATTTTTTTCTTTGCTTGCAACTTTCTTAAGAGTTCAGACATGGGAACCTTGTCCGCACCCCAGGCCTTTATAGCCAGAGGGAGTGGCAGTATTTGTCACTGTGCCTGGGAAAAAGAGGCCCTTTGTGGAGCAACTTGAGAAGGCTCCTGTGCCAGTCTCCCGCTCCCAGCCCTTGTCAAAGCTGCTGCTGAGGGGAGCCCAGAGAACAGCCTGTCAACTCTTTTCAGGGCTGGGAAAGTCAGGCTTTCTGTCGCCTTGGCTGGGCTGAGGGACTTGGATCCCTGGTCGGCAGCCCAGGATTTGCAAAGAGGGATGGGAAACGTCAGACCTTTCACTGGTTGAGAACTGGGGACTTTCAGAGCTGGAAGAAACCTTGACAGTCCTTGGGTGCAGTCACCCTGCTCCCCTATTGATGAGAAGCGGAACCTGGCAAAGCTCGCACAGCTCCGGGTCCAGCACTCTTGCTGCCAGAGGCAGAAGCTGAGAGAAGGAAACCTCAGGCCTGGCATCTCTATTTGCTGGACAGCCCACTGCAGGATCCCCACCTGTGTCACCTGGCTCTGCTGGGAAACGCTGCCATGCCTGCCTCTGTCATCTCCCACACTCTGCCTCCCACACCTCCATCAGCTGCCTGGGAGTCCATCTGCAATACCACTGACAGTCCAGGCCTTCCCAGTGTGTCCAGTAGGGATCAGATTCCTGGAAGAGCAATGACAAACTCTTCAGGATATGACTTAAGACCTGATTGTGGAAAGAACAGGCTTTGAAATCGGCCAGACAGGTACTCAAAATCTGAATCTGCAGTGGCTCATGCCCATTATCCCAGCACTTTGGGAGGCTGAGGTGGGAGGATTGCCTGAGCCCAGGAGTCCAAGACCAGCCAGGCAGCATAGTGAGACCCCCACTCTACCAAAAAAAAAAAAATTAGCTGGGTATGGGTGGTACACACACATGGTCCCAGCTATGTGAGAGGCTGTTGGGGAGGGGATGGGGGATTGCTTGAGCCTGGAGGTTGAGGCTGCAGTGAGCTGTGATTGGACCACTGCACTCGGGCCTGGGCAACAGAGAGAGGGAACGAGAGAGAGAACGAGAGAGAGAGAGAGAGAGAGAGACCCTGTCTCGAAAATAAATAAAACCTGAATCTGTCATTTTCTTGTACTTTATACTGGTCAGGTTACTTAATCTTCTGAGCTTTAATGGCCTCATTACTAACGTGGAGATAATAATCCGTACAAGGGAGGATTTAGGGATTCAGTGAGAGTCTACAGAGGGCACCTGGTGTTGGGTTTGGCACACGGTGGCACCCAGTAAGTGGCAGCTCTTCCATCTGGGACCTTCCCTCTCCCCGGCCTGTATCTTGTGGCTCCTGCAGGGTCCTTCACTTGAGACATTTGCTGCCTGCCTTACCTAGAGGTCAAAGGTGTAACTTTTTCTCATTCCAAGTAAGTGCAGTTCCTCAAATGTTTCTTGAACACCAGCAACAGGGTCCACGTTGAGCGCGGAGGATAGAGGAGCCATTCTGCTGCCGCTTTGCCTCTCGGATACTCAAGGCCAAATGAGAGAGAGGAGCAGTAAGTAAAGCCCAGAGCAGCCACTTCACAGGGTAGGACAAGTGACTGTGAGCTACAAACACCTGCCTGGGGGAGTCAGGGGAGGGCCTAGGGGGCTTCATAGTTTCAGTGTTGTCTAAACTCTCATTCCAACAGGAACCCGAGTCCTGCTCCCATCCCAGGAATGTGGGGGCCTGGGTCCAGAGCAAAAGCATGGAGCCCAAGGCACATGGACAGTGTCTGCAGGGAAGCCTGGATCAAGAACTCAGCAGACTGTCAGCTCTGGGCCAAATTCCAAGAAGTTCCCAAGGGCCCAAGGTAGGCATTCGATACACTTGATTTATTGAAGGGGTGCTGCTCTCAAGCCCAGGGGGCGTGAGGGAGGAAGAGGAAGGCAGGGGATGCTGTCTCAGCTGGAGTCGAACTTCAGCCTTCCTACAGACAAAGGAGCCAGGCTTTCGTACCCTGTGCCAGTCAGTCGTTAGCTTTGGGTTTTGGAGAAGGGGGTGAGTGTGCCTGGGTGAGTCAATTCCTGCTGGGCTGAGGATGATTCTGCTGGGGGCACACCCCTGAACGCTCTGAGCCCACATTCCTAGCTCCCGGAGGTTGGGTGCCCAGGCCTAGCACACTGTCCAGGTGGAGGTTTACCCCAAGGAGGGTAGGCAGAGGCAGAACTTGGTGGGAACAGCCACATGGAAACTAGATATCGAAGGTTTGTTTTGTTATTGTTGCTGTTTGAGATAGAGTCTCGCCCTGGCACCCAGGCCGGAGTCCAGTGGTACGATCTTGGCTCACTACAACCTCTGCCTCTCGGGTTCAAGCGATTCTTATGCCTCAGCTTCCAGAGTAGCTAGCAATACAGGTGTGTGCCACAAGCCTGGCTAATTTTTGTATTTGGTAGAGAAAGAGTTTTACCATGTGGGCCAGGCTGGTCTTGAACTCCTGGCTTCAAGCGATTCACCTGCCTCGGCCTCCCAAAGTGCTGGGTTTACAGGTGTGAACCACTGTAACCAGCCAGGATAAAGAAGGTTTTAAAATGGCATCCTCATCTTGAATGGTCCAGCTTCCAAAACTGTGATGACTAAATTGTTATTTAAGCCACCCAGTCTATGGGAATTGTGACAGCAGCTCAAACTGACCAGGACAACATTCTGCCTGGTGTTGGGAGGCGCTTCTCCCGTGGTGTCTCCCTCTCCCATACAGCTTGTCAAGCCCTGATCTCTCTTTATCTGGCCATTTCTCAAGGTTGTGTTGGAGCAAGCACCCTTGGAAGATGAGATAGTGTCCCTTCCCCAGACAACAGGCAGGCTGCTGTGGGCAGTGGGTCCCCCTGGCCCTGTGTCCTCTCCCATCTAGACCTGCCTGCATCACGGCTGAGGCCTTGGAGCTCAGGGAGCTGAGGTGATCATGCCGACACTCTGGCTCCTGCTCTTGCTGTGAGTAAGGCCATCTTTAGTCCCTGACCCAGGAGTCTGTCAGCTCCTGTCAGCCCCATGCACCGTGGCAGGCCATCTCACCAGCTTACAAGCAGGGAACATCTCAGCCTCTTCACAGCCTGTGGCATCCAGCATTAGTCACTACCACTTCCAGCTGCTGTAGCCTACGCATGTACCACAGACACATGGGAGATTCTTCTCTCAGCCTCTTGCCGACACCCAGAATACCCACAGCTCTCTTTGTCTGTCTCATTTCTTTCCCGTCCCAAACCAAGTAGCACCTCAGGCTTCCCCTCACATCAGGTGTCTTCGCAGGATCCCTTGCCCAACCTCTGTCTGAAGGGTGGGTCCCCCAGCACAGCCTACAAAGCCCTTGGGACCTACGCTTCCTGCTCTTATGGCCCCAGCTCGGAGCTCTTCCCCATCAGAAACTTGCACTGTAGCAAAGTCAACATTTTCTGTTCCCCCAAGTTCATGCCCTTTTATGCTGTTCTTTCTGCCTGGAGCTATCCTTCATTGTCTTTGCCTCATTCTTCAGGACTGAATTCCAGAGATACTTCCTCCAGAAAGCCTCCCCTATGGTCCGGCTAGCTCAATCAGCTTCTCTTATACCCTCTGTCCCCACGCATGTTACACACAACAGCATCAACTGGTACCATAGGTACTGCCCAACTTCCCTTCTCTTTCAATACTGTGGGCTCCCTGGAGGCAAGAACTGTATGTTACTCTTTCCAGTATATATAATGCCTAGCTGGGGTGGTGCCCAGAAATCTTTCTTTTTCATTCCTTCCCTCTTTCCCTCATTCCCGCCTTCCCTCCTTCCTTTCCTCTCTCTTTCTCTCTTTTACTCCTTCCTTCCTTCCCTCTCTCTTTTTCTTCCTTCCCTCTTTCTTTCTCTTTCCTTTTTTCTTTCTTTCTTTCCTTCCTTCCTCACTCCCTTCTTCTCTTCCTCCCTCCTCCCTTCTTCCTTTCTCTCCCATCTCCTCCCCTCCCTTTCCCTCCCTTTCCTTTCCTTTTTCCTTTCCCCCTCCCCTCCCCTCCCCTCCCCTCCTCTCCCCTCCTCTCCCCTCTCCTCTCCTTACACAGCATCTTGCTCTGTGGCCCAGGCTGGATGGAGTACAGTGACACAATCACAGCTCACTGCAGCCTTGACCTCCTGGGCTCAAGCAGTCCTCCCTCTTCAGCCTCCTGAGTAGCTGGGACTACAGGTGTGTACCACCACACCAGGCCAGAAATACTTCTAGGGAGAAAAAGAATGAATGAATGCCCACCCATTGCACATATACTTCACTTACTACCACTGGCCAAAGTGATCTCATTCCTCTGAACTCCCATGGGACTTTCTTCCTGACAGTCTCTATGGGTATGTTTCACATTTCCCATCTCCAGCCTGGCTTTATTATCCTCACTCACAGCCCTTGAGGGTCAGGTCTGTATCTTCTCCTTGTTCAGATGGGTCTTAGATCACTTTGGAGTTTTCTAGCTTTCAATTTTATAGGTGTATTATTTTAAAATCTCTAGAAAGCTAATCCAAGAATAGCAAGAAGAGCTATGGAGTTTGTTAAATTTTATTTAGGTTAAGGAATGAGTTTTCATTCAGTGCTAAGCATATTCTAATTTGCATGTCTATTTCTAATGTAATAACCAAATCAGTCTCCTGGGAGAGGAGAAGGGCATTGTGTTTTCAATGTCCCTCTGTCCATTCACTGTCTCCGAGCAGGTTTCAGGAGGTAAATTCATTCAAGATTGCACAAATATTTATTGAGTGTCTAATAACATTCCTGCCCCAGGGACCTGGATGCTGTCCCAGTCAATGCATCGGCAGGGAATGAAGCTCTGATTTTATTTATGGGCCAGAAGCCTGAGCAGAGCCTCTGCCACAACAGCAAAGTGCAAGCTGCCAAGCAGTTGATCTGAAAACTCTGAGAACCCAAAGAGACCTGAGTAAACATATGAATGGATGGATGCCTTTTGACAGCTCCACCTAGAATGCAATTTGCCCTACTCCACTTTCTCTACTCATCAGAGCACACATCTTCCAGAATGTTCAGCCGCTCCGCTCAGAGAAGGGCTCTCTCCAGGCAGTAACGAGGGAGGGAGGTCTCCAAACAGCGGGCAGAGCAGCACCCGGGCAGCAGCGCAGATGATCACCTGCGAGGAGAGAACAGGGCTTTCTTTTTACAAGTCACCATAAATTTATTTCCAATCCTAGTTTAGTTCCTTGGGAAAGAAAGATAACTTCTATGCTTATTTTGCCACTTCTGTATTTGTGAGATGGAAAATAACAAAAATGACATGCTAATGAGATGAAAAGTCCAGTCATTTTTCTCTTTCCTTTTTTGAAGTCAGGGTCTTGCTCTGTTGCCCAAGCTGTAGTGCAGCTGCGCGTCATAGCTCACTGCAGGCTTGAACTCTCGGGCTCAGTGATCCTCCCACCTTGGCCTCCTGAGTAGCTGGAATTACAGAAGTGAGCCACTGTGCCCAACTCTCCAGTCATTTTTCACCACACACCGTTAAGAGCTCCAGCAGGTTCTGTGGTCTGAGACCCAACATTCCAAACAAGTAGTAAAATTTGGAGAAAGGAAGCTCTCAGTTAGGACAGTGGTATGCTGCAGTGATTAAAAGTTTGGTTCTCAGCTGGGCGTGGTGTCTCACACCTGTAATCCCAGCGCTTTGGGAGGCCAAGACAGGTGGATCACCTGAGGTCAGGAGTTCAAGACCAGCCTAGCCAACATGGTGAAACCCCGTCTCTACTAAAAATACCACACACACACAAAAATTAGCCGGTCATGGTGATAGGCACCTGTAGCCCTAGCTACTCAGGAGACTGAGGCATGAGAATCACTTGAACCCAGGAGGTAGATACAATGAGCCAAGATCATCCACTGCTGTCCAGCCTGGACAACAGCAAAACTCCATCTCCAAAAAAGAAAAAAAGTTTGGTTCTTAAGGTCAGACAGAGAAGGGCTGTAGTCCTACTGACACTACTTATGACTTGGGGGACCACAGTGGGGGAAGCTGTATATCAGCTTTGAGCTCGTTTTCCTCGTCTGTAAGTCAGAAACAGTAGCCCTACCTGTCATTGTGCTTTGGCCATGCGATGCACTCCTGCTGGCCTCAACACTCCCACCCTGTTTGATGCACCCTTCAAACAGGTATGTGGCTTTCTCTGATGCACGCCCCTACCCCAAGGAGAGGTGTGCTTGGATCTGTGTTTGTGTCAGGCTCCTTCACTAAACACTGAGCACATCGTGGACCAGCACCTGGTCTTGTTCATCTCCGTGTGAGGGACATAGGATTTGTCCACATGAGTGTTCTCTCCCTTCTCCTACCCCCAACCAGCTCAATAGGATTTTCCCTTTGTCTACTCAGATATTCCCTCTTTCCTACCCTCTAAAAAAGAGTTTAGTCTTTACTGGGCAAGAAAGAAAATGTCTGTGGAAACCTGGGTACAGAGAAACAGGACCTGGGCTGCCAGAGGAAAGAGAATAAGATCCAGCCAGAGAGGCTGAGTTAAGCTGCAGGGTGGAAAGCTGACAGATTCTGGGAAGAGCAGAGGAGCATGGTAGGAAAGCCAAGCAGGCTGGGCGTCAGGAAGTGTTTGGAGGGAACTGGGCAAGGAGGATGTTCTGGCGCATCTGCTATCTGCTGGAAAGAGACAAAAGAGAAGTTGGAAAGATTCAAGGGTTATGAATTTGTTCTCCATTAATATTCTTTAAAAGATACAAGATGGCTGGGCATGGTGGCTCTTTCCTATAATCTCAGCACTTTGGGAGGCTAAGGCAGGAGGATCACTTGAGGTCAGGAGTTGGAGACCAGTCCGGGCAACATAATAAGATCTCATCTCTACAAAAAACTTAAAAATTAGGTGACATGTACCTGTAGTCCCAGCTACTCATGAGGCTGAGGTGGGAGGATTGCTTGAGCCCAGGAAGTTGAGGCTGCAGGGAGCCACAGTTGCTCCACTGCACTTCAGCCTAGGTGACAGAGTGAGACTCTGCTTAAAAAAGAAAAGATGCAAAAGAAAAATTATAAGGTAGTTTTAATTAAGTTTAATTATTTTTGGACCGTGTGTTTTTTAAATGTGTCTCCATACATAAACTAAGCTACATGGAGCCCCAAAGTGTGTCTGGGTTACACTTACCTCTTCAGAGCCTCGAGGGTATCTGATACATACCGGATATTTCAGCTGGTGGGTTGAACTGAGTGTCGAACGCTGCTGGCTGGGGGAATACTTAAAACCTTGTCTTATTGTTTGAGCCACTCACATCATCACAGCCACACTGCTGCCACAACAGAGGGAGCAACTGTACAAAGACACAGAATTTTGGAGGGACATGTTCAATCTGATAATAGATAACTCTAGGGGTTTATTTTTTCAGCCCTGCATAATCTCCTGGGAGCCACTTTTCTAGTACATGACAGTGACCTCCCCACTGGTAGGTAACCTGATGAAGGCAATCAGATTCGTTCTCCTTGGAGCTTGGAATTGTGACTAATGCATTGGTCTCAGATCAGGCTGGTTAGCTTGAGCAGATACATAAACGCAGAGGCTCTGAAGCAGCCAGGTTTGTCTTCACGTAGGACAAAGCAGTGAGTCTGTCTGTATTGAGGGAGAATGAGAAGAACAGAGAAATGAGAAAGGGGGCAATCAAGCCCGTGTCCCTGGATCTCTCTGAGATGCCCTTCCAATAAAGGTCCATTGTGGCTGAAGCTCATTTGAGGTAGGTTTTACTTACCTGCAACCCAAGACAATGGCATCAGTGCCTTGAGCCACAGTCCCTCAGCATTGCTGGTTGTCATTCTTTCAGTCTTGTCCCTGCAGCCCTGGGCAGGACAGGAAGCTGTGGGAGGAAATGCCTCATGCTTCTAGGGCCTTTGGAGGCAGGTGGCCCCTTCCAGGCTGCTCTAGTGCCTGCTGCCTCACTGGGCCTTCCTAGCCTGGCAAAGGGAAGAAGAGGTTAAAGCCCTCACTGTTTCCATCTCCCCTTGACACCAATGAAAAGAAAAACAAGGAAAACATCTCTTCCAAAACAGCAAGTCAGCAGAACCAGCGGAGGAGCAAATCATCAATTTTTTCTAGGAAACTGGCAAACACTTTTCAAGGGTGTTAAAGATAATCAGACACAAAAATAAGACTTGTTTGGACACTAGTTTCTCCCTCAGGAAAACTGAACGCAAAGCTGACGATGTGTAGGCTTTGAAGAGAGAGGTTTCTGGAAAATCAATAAAAGAAGTCAGTGCCATCTGATTGCCTTTTTTATTTTATTTTTTTTGAGACAGAGTCTTGCTCTGTCACCCAGGCTGCGGTGCAGTGGTGCAATCTTTGTTCACCGCAGCCTCTGCCTCCCAGATTCAAGCCATTCTCTGGCCTCAGCCTCCCGAGCAGCTGGGACTACAGGAATGCACCACCGCACCTGGCTAATTTTTGTATTTTTAGTAGAGATGAGGCTTCACCATGTTGGCTAGGCTGGTCTCAAACTCCTGGCCTCAAGTGATCCACCCGCCTTGGCCTCCCGAAGTGCTGGGATTACAGGCGTGAGCCACTGAGCCCAGCCTGATTGCTATTTTTTAAAGTGGAGAGAACACTCTTAGCACATTTTTATTCGTATCTGATATCAAAAGAAATAACATCAGATACTTGTAACTCTGCAAACCCATGGTCAGGGCAGTCCTGTCCTTGGACTGGGGAGATGGAAACCCTTGGGACAGGCTCATCACGAGTTCTCCTTATGGGAAAGGAAATCAGAATTCCTCAGCAGAGTCCTGACAGAGAGAAGAACCAAGGGGAACCACGGCTTGTGAAAACGTGGTGTGACTGAATGCAAAGCTCACTTAGAAAGATGAAAAAATACGTATTATAATTCAAGGGTTTTTTTTTTTTTAGAAATTAATATTCTATAAAAGTATCAGGGCAAGCAAAAGATAAGTCTGCTGAATTCTTTGTGTACTTCTCTCTTGTGGCTCTGGAAGTACATGGATGCCATGTGTGGCCATCGCCAGGCATTCTCCCCACCCTTCTTCTCTTGCACCCTCCAGTCCTCTCTGAGACCCCGTGGCTTTGTGTCACGTTCCACCATGGGTTTTAGAAGATGACATCACACGCCTTCCTCTCTTCATTGAGCATTTTAACAACATTATAAAAACCATCAGCGGCCGGGCGCGGTGGCTCACGCCTGTAATCCCAACACTTTGGGAGGCCGAGGCGGGTGGATCACGAGGTCAAGAGATGGAGACCATCCTGGTCAACATGGTGAAACCCCATCTCTACTAAAACTACAAAAAATTAGCTGGGCATGGTGGCACGTGCCTGTAATCCCAGCTACTCAGGAGGCTGAGGCAAGAGAATTGCCTGAACCCAGGAGGCGGAGGTCGCGGTGAGCCAAGATCGTGCCATTGCACTCCAGCCTGGGTAACAAGAGCGAAACTCCGTCTCAAAAAAAAAAAAAAAAAAAAAAAAACCATCAGCTAAGGTTCCTCAAAGTCCTCCAAACCAACCTGGCTCCCTTTTTACCTCTCTTTGTATGCTAGGGCTTGTATAAGATTTTATTTCAAAAGGGGTTCTGCAGCTACCACTGGCCTTGGAAACTCTTACAGACCGCATTCCAGAAGGAAGAATGAAGCAATGTTCACTTCAAGTCATTTATCACATAGCTGGACCACCACCCCAACCCCGCCCGCCAAGTTCGCCATTTCCCTTGCAATGGAAAGAAAAACCCTGGCCCATGGGGTGCTCCAGAAAGGTGACCAATTCATTTTCTCCTTCTTCTTTTTTTTTTTTTTTTTTTTTCTTTTTTGAGATGGAGTCTTGCTCTGTTGTCCAGGCTGCAGTGCAATGGCACAATCTCAGCTCTCTGCAACCTCCGCCTCCCAGGTTCAAGTGATCTTCCTGCCTCAGCCTCTGGAGTAGCTGGGATTTCAGACACTTTCTTCTTTCACTTTTACTGATGAAAACTTGTTCAGTGGGAGAAAGCCCGGGTGCTCTGGCCTGAGGCTCTGACCAAAAATTTCGTCAACGCTACTTTAAACAGTTTCTTAAAGAAGTAGTAATTTTGAAGCTTTGGCCAGGGTGTGTGTGTGTGGTCGAAGACGGTAACTTTCAGATAGGTCTTCCTTGCTTGATAAAAAGATATTAGCTGCCCTTTCAGTGTGGAAGTTGAGGCCCAGGACAGTTTGAATGAGGAGGCTGGGGCAAAGGAAAACAACGTCCATTTTCTCTGAGGAGCTGTGCTGCAGAGGCGGGTGAGTAGGAGGCCTGGGGACTGGGGAAGCTGGGGTTTCAGGGGCAGGGAATAAAGGTCTTGGAAGGAAGAGGGAGCAGCACTAAGGCAGCTGGCCTGGGCCGAAGGACAAGTGGCAGGAGACGCCCGTGCTGTGTATGGGAGGTGAGCCTGAGGACACGATGTCAAATACTCAAGTTCCCGGTCCACACCTGAACCCCCTCCAACACCTCCAAACCTTCAGTAATGCCCGTGGTGTGCCTGCCTGGAGAGCACACTGGAGGGAGGGCTGGGGGAATGTTCTGGAACAAGCCAGGGGCTGCAGAAACATGGAGAGAGAGCAAGAATGTGTCCAAAGATGGTCAGAGAGGGCCTGGGGACATGTTTCGAGGTGAGAGTCCCCAGTTCACCTTCTGCCCCAGAACTCCTCAGACATAGTAGGGACAGTCCTAGACTTAACACCTTTATGCGGGAAAAGAGTGAGATTACTTCTGGGTGTTAAAACAGCTGGTGATCCCAGAAGTTGGACGAACCTGGGGATAATTGGGACATGAAATGATCTACAGCAGTTGGTGCTCTAATCTCTCTTCCCTTCATATCTCTTCTTTCCTCGCTTTGGTTTCTCACATCTTCTATTTTTCTTTTCAAGGAAACGATATATTTCTTTTCAGTGCAAACCTAGTGTCTGTTCTTGATTTTGAGCTTTCTCTCTTTTGTCTCTCAAGACGTACAAAGCAGCTGCCAACTAGTCCATGGTTTCCCAGCTGGAGGAGCCCTGCCCTGCACCCTCACAGCAGCCCTGAAGCAGACACCCCAGGGAGTACCTACCTGGGGCACCCCAAGCTGGCACCAGCATACAAAGTGGTCAGAAATGTGCTGTTAACCCTGAAAGGGCTGCTTAATAAATCAGTTTTACTTCCCTCTTTGATCCAAAAGTTTTGAGAGAGAGAGAGTGTGTGTGTGGGGGGGGGGGGGGGCTTCACAGGACACCATAAGAAAGTGAAAAGACAACCCATAAAATGGGAGAAAATATTTTGCAAATTACATTTCTGATAAGGCATATCTGATAAACTCTTACAACTTAATAATTTTATTTTTGAAATGACCCAACTAAAATAGTTAGCAAAGGGTCTGAGTTGCAATTTTGCCAAGGCAGATAAACATATGGCCAACAAGGACATGAAATGATGCTCAACACCATTTCCCATCAGGGACATGAAAATCAAAACCACAATGAGATACCACGTCACACCCACCAGAGTGGCTGAAATTTAAAAAGACAGCAAGAACAAGTGTTGGCAAAGATGTGGAAAATCTTTGGTGGTGGTGGAAGAGATTTATTCTGCTGGTAGAAATTGCTAATGGAAAAGGTTAAGCAGAGAGCTAGTTTTTTTGTTTGTTTTTGACACAGGGCCTGGCTCTGTCACCTAGGCTGGAGCACAGTGGCACGATCTCAGCTCACTACAACCACTGCCTCCCACGCTCAAGCAATCCTCCCACCTCAGGCTCCTACCTCGCCATTTCCCTTGCAATGGAAAGAAAAAGATTTATCAGATATACCTTACCAGGTATGTAATTTGCAAATATTTTCTAGAGCAGCTATTTCTAGAGTAGCTGGGACTGTCGGTGCTACCACGCTTAGCTATTTTTGTATTTGTTGTAGAGACAGGGTCTCACTTTATTGCCCAGGCTGGTCTGGAACTCCTGAGCTCAAACAATCTACCTGCCTCGGTCTCCCCAAGTGCTGGGATTAGAGAGGTGAGTCATGTCACCCAGCCTAGAGGTACAATTTAACTGGACTGAAACATATGTCCACACAAAAGCTTGTCCACAAATGTTCATGGCACATTATTCAAAATACCAAAAAGTGGAAACAACTCAAATGTCTATCAACTCATGAATGGGTACATAAATTGTGACATATCCGAACAATGGAATGTTAATTCAGCAATCCGAATGACTGAAAGACTGATACGTGCTACAACGTGGACTGAGCTTGAGAACATGCTGAGTGAAAGAAGCCAGACATAAATTCTGATTGCATTTGTATGAAATGTCCAGAACAGTCAAATCCATAGAGAGAAAGTACCTCTATGGTTGCCTAGGGTGGGAGGTGGGTGTGGAGGTGGGAGGGACTGGGTGCTGACACATACCACGTTTCATCTGGGATGATGACAGTGTTCTAAAACTGATTGTGGTGATGGCTGCCCAGCTCTGTGAATATTCTAAAAACCATTAAATGATTCACTTTAAATGGGTGAATGGTGTGGTATATGCCTTATAAAAAAAAATTTAGGCTGGGCATGATGGCTCACACCTGTCATCCCAGCAATTTGGGAGGCTGAGGTGGGCGGATCATGAGGTTAAATGATCGAGACCATCCTGGCCAACATGGTGAAACCCAATCTCTACTAAAGACACAAAAATCAGAAGGTTGTGTTGGCATGTGCCTGTAGTCCCAGCTACTTGGGAGGCTGAGGCAGGAGAATCGCTTGAACCCAGGAGGTGGTTGCAGTGAGCCGAGATCATGCCACTGCACTCCAGCCTGACGACAGAGCGAGTCTCTGTCTCAAAAATAAAAAATTAAGCAATATATGGTTTTCTAAGCACTTGGGTTTTTTGTTTGTTCAATTTTTTATCATTAACATCAAGTATTATTGTGGTCAGAGAATGTTACCAAATAATTTTTTTTGAAATTAAGAATTATTTCTGGTTTAGTATATGATCAATTTTTATTAATATTTTTCAGTGTTTGAAATATACGTATATTTAACGACTTACTGAGTGCTTAAGCATGCGGGGTGCTATCCTGGATACTTCACACACGTGAGCTCTGCTCTCAGCTCTGCAGTGGACACCTCCATTTCACAAGAGGGGTGTTGAGGCCCACAGGAGATCATCCCAGCTCCAGTGGGCCAGGGACCTGGGAACTGAGCCTGACCCTGTGGCTCCCAGAAGCCTGCTCACCACACTTGGTCACAATGCCCTTTCAAATGGCTTTTATTTATGCAAATAGCCTTTCCTTTGACAGGAGCATTGAGTCATTTCTCTCCTTATCTGCAGCTCACATTGATATAGTTAAATGACCATTTTGCAGGAATGGTTCCTTCTTCACATTATTGCCTCAATTCAGCAGTTAAAGCTTGACTAGTGAATTTGAGACATAGAAAACACAGAAAAAAGCAAAGTGATTCTCAAAAGGACTTAGAAGATGTGAATAAACTAAAAGACCATGTAATTGAACGCGTAGATTGAATTGTGTTAAGCTAGCCAATTTCCCCCTGATTAATCCATATCACACCTTTAATATTCCTCTGTGGTTTTAAAAAAACTTGTGTAAATAATCCTAAAATTCACCAGAAAGTAAAATCATCATTGGAATACCTAGAGACTTTTTTAAAAACTAGAGTAATGGAAGGGTCTTGTTCTAAATAATATTCAACAGTGTCATGAGCCTATGCTAAAGATGCTGGAAAAGTAGAAGAGCGAATTTGATGCGTAACTCTTTGAAACAAAGTAGATACCAGCCACTTATAAGTGGAAACATGCGGTATAAGTGAGAACATGCAGTACTTGATTTTCTGCTTCAAATCAGACTTTAAAAAAAAAAAACTGGTTATATCCAATAGTAAAATGCTAGTGTTAGTGCAAGGCAGTAATAGATGTTATTTTGTTTCCTGTGTTTTTGAATTTCCTTCCACATACATATATTAATAATTGTTTTTAAAAGTAAACTATTTGAAAAATCATAAAGCGAAAAAGCAACATACTCTGGTCTGGATTCAGAAAAGTCCTCCCAGGGCCAGCAGACCACACCCACTGTAGTCCAAGCTAGCGCTGAAAAGGCAATGCGATGCACGCTGGAGAGAAACAGAGCTCTTTCCTGGAGAGCTTTCCAGGAAAGCCAAGCATTGCAATGCAAAGTGCGTTCAGGCTCTGAAACACAGTGGGACAAAAAGGCCTTGAGAACTTTTGGCAGAAGTGTGCTCCGTGCGAGAGCAAGAAAAGCATCTCACAGAGAGAAAAGCGCCTCTCTCTGTGTCCTTTGATGGCCAGGAGGGTGTGCAGCCAGGAGGCAGAGAAGGTTTTCCAGGCTCAGGTGGCCTGGTGCCAGGCCCTGAAATGGAACAGCAGAAACGTGGTCTGGCTGCTTGGTGTGAAAGGGGCAAATGAGAAGTGGCCGGTGTGCAGGGGCGAAGCAGGCAGAGCAGCCCCTGGCTGTCACTCATGGCAGGGGAAGGTCAGGGCAGGACAGTGTGGCCAGACCAGGCAACGCTGAGGTTCATTCAGACAGGTCTCTCTACCCACCCATCGCTCTTGGAGCCCCGCTGTGTTCCCAGCACAGTGCTGAGGGCTAAGGATAGTGGTGTGTCCTGCCTGATGGCACCCTGTCTACTAGGGACAATGACAACCCAAGTGCCATAATGAAGGTAAGTACAGAAGGAATAGGTGGCAAAGGTGAGAAGCAGACCAGCCCTCACACAGCAGTGAAAAGCTCAGAGGTGAGTGGAGAAGCAGCCAGCCTGTGGAGATCTGGCTCCGTGAGCAGCACAGCTGGGTAAGGTTTCTCTCCCCACCTTTGAAGGTCATGGGCCCAAGGGCAAGCCTTACTTAGCACAGCCAGGTATAACTCCTATGAAAAGCCAGAGAACACAGGAATTCCATTTTCTGGCAGTCACTCAGAAACCCACAGCAAGGGGATCTGCTCAAATGCAGCGGTTTTGGCTGGATTCCCTCTCATAGTCCTGGTGAAAGTGAGGTTGGGTCATTGCTTCCTCCACTTAACGTATTCATGCTTAAAACCAACATCTCCTGAGCACCTACTATGTGCTAAATGACACCAATCCTAAAGCGCCCTCTTCAGGCAAGCTAAGAAATGGACAGTGCTGACCTCAGTGGGGTCTGGATGGAGATCCAGCTAAGGGGCATCCAGCAGCCTGCAGAACCCCTGGCTTGGCGAGGGCCCTGGGCAACCCAGCAGCATGACATTTACTATAATGTGGCCTCTCTTTCCACAGATACACTAGACTTGTGCCTTAAAAGGAAAAAAAAACTATGGCAAAAGAAGACTTCAGAGTCAAAAGGAAAAGTCAAATAATCATCGTGCCTTCAAGAGCCATCTCTGATTGCTATGGAATTGGCCTACCGGCAAAAGCCAAATGATAGAAGATTTTAGGATGATAGTGACTATTTAGGACTTTTCAAAGAGGATTTCAAATGAGTGTAGGTAGCAGGGCACCCAGAAGTCATGAGTCCTGGAGCAAATTTTCTACCATTCACGGCCCCAGTTTCCTCTTCTGTATAATGGAGTACCCATAAATGAACCTATTTCATGGGGTTGTTGCAAGGATGAAATAGACAACGTCCATTTCTCACTTCACATCTGGCATGTATGAGGACTCAGCAAGTGTTAGATATTAACAATTCTGAAACTCCATGACATGTTAATAGGTTAAATTCCATCAAAAAAACATGAATAGTTTTACCAAATGCAAAACGGTTGTCTTCCAAGCATGTAAGAATTCTCACCTCACTAGTAATACTTGAGTTATACTTTCTTGAACTTTAAAAATTTGTGTTCACTTAGCATTTGTGCGTTTATCTGCCAGATGACCGGAGGACCAGCCACTACCAAAGGTGTACCAGCACTTGTTGGAAAAGTTTCTTCTGTCAGTTTCCTGTGACTTGGAAAACAGTAGTCAACGTTAAATCACAGAACGGCTCCTCCGGGCATGCTTCACCAATGTTCTTTGAAAACAAAATCTAAAAGCCAGTGGATTTGACTATTTAAAACCACTTCCTTCAAATTTAAAGAGAACCCTTTAGAATTTATAATAGGCCAAGAAAATCACCCGGCTTTCTGCCAACCTTTCCTAAAAATACAGTCAATCTGAGAATTCCCAGAACTCAAGAAAAACTGC